ACTGGAGGTCATCTGCATATGTTGCTACAAAGGTCAACTGGTACACAGAGAGAACTGATGGAACAAGATCTGAAGACGAATATTCTCCCGATTTATCAAATTCTACAAGTGAAGGCTGAAGACTACCATGGAGTAACATTCTACACTTACAGACTTCAACGCACCGATGGGAGCGAATTTACTTGTCAAGAGAATGACTTCATCATGCTGAAACCGGATGACATCTACCAAATGTTCATGGCCTACAGATACCTTCCAGTCAGGCAGAGCATAGTATACAGCGAAGGCCTCGCAGCTATCAAGAGATTCATGCTTAGACAAATCCGAGTACACTCTTCACATGACCTACAGATGGCTATTGAATGCAATCTAAAGAAGACAAATCTGACAAAGCCAAGACTGTATGGTCCAGAACTTGAAGATTTCCCAGCCTACCACATCTTCTTCACACCGCCAGCAGTCACCTATCTGAACCACAAGAACGAAAAGCGTCTGATGGTAGTCAGTGAAATCGAGAAGTACTGCGACGGAACACTGAAGATAATCAGAGAGAAGATTCTACAGATGAAGGCAAAGCTGGAAGAAAATCTTCAAGAGGCATCGTCTTATGTTCAAAAGGAACACTCTACTGTAGAGACAATTTTAAAGGCCATTGACGATCGCCTCGAAAAGAGAAATGTGCTGAGACAGTATGAACATGCACTTGGTATGAGGAAGCACTACTTCAAATCTCAGAAGCAATAAGAGAATGGCACTTGATCACAAAGGGGGAGATTGTTGGAGATATTTAATTGTGAATCAAGTTGGTCATAGATTAGCTTTATATTTAATCCTTGTATTTAATTAGTGCATAAATTAGATAGAAATCAGGCCAAGTGTTAGGCCCATTTAAACAGGCCAAAAGCCTGGCACGCCTAACCTAAACCTCGCCTATAAAAAGGGAGCCGAGGTTTAGGAAAAGGTTGAACGTCGTACTTATTATTCATAGCCTTACGCATATCATTCTGTTGTACGTTCCACGGTTTATCAAAGAAGGTTTTACGGTGATTCATTCTGTGTTCATCTTTACGTTTAATCTTCCTTGTTAGATCGATTATTCATTGCTGTTACAGAAACAGGGACTAACAGCTTTTGTTTATTCATCAGAATATTTTGTTTGTAGAAGTTTGCATCTCTCTTCTTTGGAAGCCGACAGTCTTTGCTGATATGTCCAGGTTTCCCGCAGTTATAGCACACAGAGGTGTTAGCAGTTGATGTGGCCTTCCTGGCTGAGCTTTGGTCCTGATTCTTCTGTTTGTAGTTAGAGGAAGAGGTTCGCAGCTTATTTGAAGAGTTGTTCCTCTTGGCAAACTTCTTGGCAAGCAGGGCCATCTTCTTCTGGAGATCTGCAAGCTCAGCTTCAAGATCAGTTCCTTCTTCATCACTTTCATCTTCATCAGATTCAACCTCCACTATCTTCTTCTTCTTTTTCTGCAGAGGTTTCGCTGTTCTTTTGGGCTGAGCTTCCATCAGTAGAGCCAGAGGATTTGGGCTTGATTGCTCCTCAATGCATACAACGTCATTGACAAACTCCTTTAACAGCTCATTTAAGGTGAATAGATCAATCTCATCCATGTCAATGCGTTGTCTCAAGTCCTTTACTGTTTTACTCCAAGATGGGTGCAGACTGGACAGAAATCTAGTATTCAGTTCCAGGTTGGTTATGAATATTTTGATTTTCCTCATTTCATTCATTAGCTTCACAAGCCTGGCATGAGTCTCGTGAAGAGGTTCTCCAGGAGCAGCCTTGAACGAGTCATAGGCCATTAGAATAGCAGATTTCTTGGTTTTTAGGCTTATGCTCGAGCCTTGGAGTAATTTTTCAATCTCATCCCACATTTCTTTTGCAGTTTGCATACTGTCAATCATCACGTATACTTCATTTGGGATGGCTTGGAGGAGGTATGTTTTGGCCATAAGGTCTCCTCTCAGCCTTAGCTTGTCTGCTTCAGTGTATTCAGACGGCCTTTTTCTTCTTGTTTCCGGAGGAATGGGTGGATTATTAGTTGAGTCCCCTCCTACGTCAATCATCAGAACAGCTGGTCCTTCCAGGAGCGATTCCAGCATTGCGTCGGAGTTTTCTTTGTGCTCTAGGAAGTTCAAGAAACGAGTTCTCCACATTTGGTACTCCCCTTTCCTCAGTGATGGAGGAGTACTGTTGTTTCCTTGTGCATTGGATTCAGAAGCCATTTCTGTAGCTGTAGAAAACTGACCGTTCGAGAAATAAGATCAGAAAATTTACTGAGTCAAGAACTCGAGTTCCTGAGTATTAAAGGCCTAAACTCGAGGTCTGGGGAACTCGAGGTGAGAGTTCGAGTTTATAAACTCGAGGTCAAGAGTGCAAGTTTCCAAAACTCGAGGTGTAAACTCGCAAGGTCAAAACTCGAGGTCAGACTGCGAGTTTGCAGACTGCGAGTTTGAGACTGCGAGTTTGAGACTGCGAGTTTGAGACTGCGAGTTTTAGACTGCGAGTTTGAGACTGCGAGTTTCAGACTGCGAGTTTCAGACTGCGAGTTTCAGACTGCGAGTTTCAGACTGCGAGTTTCAGACTGCGAGTTTCAGACCGCGAGTTTGAGACTACGAGTTCTTGAGCTCGAGTTCCTAAAAGCGAGTTTCTCAACTCGAGTTTGAGGCTGCGAGTTTATGCGATAACACCTGGGCTGCGAATTCCTGAAAAAATAAAACTTCAGATTTTCAGAAAAACAAAAATGGTAGGTTGTAGCCCTTGTTGTAGAGATCCTTTCACCCAAGTTTCAGGTCAAAAAGCTACACAGAGCTTAGAGAAACGAGGGATGCGAGTTCTTGGGTGCGAGTTTACAGAGAACAAAAAATTGCGGAAACGAATAAAGAAGATATACTGCTTGATCGGCTTTGAAACGCGATTCTAACAGTATAACTTTTACAACATTTGGTGCAGAAATAAGATTACAGATGATAAACTCGCTATTCTACAAAAGGAAGGAAAAACAGAGTCTTTCGTAGATAGTTCTTCTGATAAGCTCTCGATCGGCTCTGATACCATTTGTTAGTCCCTGTTTTCTATAACAACAGTATAATATGGCATACAGATGAAAGATTAACAACAAAGATGAACACAGAAAGATCAAGTGTAAACCTTCTCTGATATACCGTGAACCTTTCGTACAAGAATGATAAGCGCTAAGGCTATTTTGAGCAGATACGAAAGTTAACCACAAACCTGAGTCCTCCGCCCTCTTTTATAGGCGAGGCTCAGGTATGCGTAAAAAGGCTTCTCGCCTAAGTATGGGCCTAACACTTGGCCCATATTGAATACTATTCTAACAGATATATAGAATCAGTGCAGAACAGAAATAGTAAACATCTAAATTATTACAGACAAAACAGACAAACTTGACTCACAATAAAATAGTCTTCAACAATATGGGAGATGGCGGTGCGGATGGGCATTAGGGATAGTGCCTTCATCCAAGTGTGGGGGAGGAAGACTCATATTTTGGTATGTTAAATTCCCTTTTGTTTTTACCTTATACTAAGCATTATTTTCTTGCACTCTTTGTACACACAAAAAAAACAAATAAAAGAAATGAATGTTAGTTAGGTTGAAAACCCAAAAACGGGCAATCTAAGCAACAAGGGCTTATTTAAACAAAATGAGTGAGTGGTAAGGAAGGAAAAATAAAAGAGATGCTAGGATGAAAACCTGAAAAGGCTCCTAGGCAAAATGAGAGATATGAGAGATATATTTGTTGTTGCAGGACATAATCTCTTAAAGAAAAAGAAGAAGAAGAAGAAGAAGAAGAAGAAGAAGAAGAGAGGAGGAGAAGAGAATATGAGCACTAGAAGGCCATAAAACCCAAGATGATATTGTAATTTGAGCTTAAAACTCATGTTTTATCCTTGGTGGTCTTTGTGTTTTTCTTGTTAAATTGTTGAAACTTTGGAAGACTTGACACTTGTGAACATTAGACTTTACTCGAGGACGAGTAAAGAAACTAAGTGTGGGGGAGTTGATAAAGATATATTTTCCATGTTTATGTTTATGTTTTTAATTAGTTTTGATTGATTGTTACTTTGGAAATTACACACTTTTGGTGTAATAGTTTAGTTTGTTAAATACTTGTAAATTGTTTAGATTAGGTTTATTCTGAGCTCAAAGAGGTCTATAATTACTCAAAGAACAGTTGGTGAACCCCAAAAGTGGAAGGAAGGTGCAAAATCACAAGACAAAATGAAGATCCTGATTTTTGGTCTATACCCGGTCGGGAATGACCTATACCCGATCAGGTATCTTGTTGAAATTTCAAATCGGATCGGATCTGAATACAAAGGAACATGCAGGGAAGATTTTGACCACGATCGAGTGTCTATACCCGATCGGGTACACCGACACACCCGATCGGGTATGCCTTCGATTTTAGCCCTGAATTCGATCGAGTTTACCTCGAATATAACGTTTTACACATACCCGGTTGGGTACCGTGTATATACCCGATCGGGTACCCGGTTGGGTACCGTGTAAATACACCCCCTTCCCTTCACAATTAGACCACCAATTCACATAAACTTCTAAGTTCAGTCTAGAATAGTTCTTTCTTTATATTTTTCATCATGTTTAGTCTCCAAATGAGGAGCTAAACTCTTCCATCTTGGTTTCGCTACTTTGAAGCTTAATGAATTTGTAAGTTGTGAGTTATTTTCTTTAATCTTCTTCCTTGAATATTAATTATTTCCTACTCATATCTCATATTAATATTTTGAACATTACTTAAAGGATCAACTAGTTTTGTTTCATATATTAATTATTACTAGAATCAATCGATTAATACGTTTGTTATTAATTCGGTTCATTCAAGGCAGTAAACTTGGATTATTAATGCATGCGTCTCATGGTTAATAATCTAAGGGGAATTTATTATGTTTATTGAACCAATAAACCGCTTGCATTGAGGTTATCAATCTCAATCGTTTTCATCTTGATTTTTTTGGATGAAATGTGAGTATATATAAACACCCAAGAAAATAACAAGTTAATGTTACAAAAGCAGTGCATATCCCAGTACATAGGATACCACAACATCGATCTAGCCTACCTCCCAAATCAACAATTAGACAAACAAAACCAACAAGAGCTTCTAAGCTAAGAAAACGCTATCAAAACAGATTAGGTATCCCAATATTAGATACCAAAGAAAGCACGGAAAGGAATAGTGAACTTTGGGTCAAAGAAAACCTCCCCTTTGTTCCTAGTAACTCCCGGTATTTTCTCAAGACATTTGGCCAAGAAAGTAAGTCCTCTCCCGTCTAAATTGTCCGTAAGTCGAAGTGAAGTATCCACTCTAATCACATCCGCATGCACGAACTTCAAGGGTTTGACAGCGAAACAGAACTTATCTTTGGCAATCCCATATTTGACCACCACATCATTTACCTTCAAGTCTTTTTCATGTATCACGATCCTTTCAATATCTTCCAAAATGGCCTCGTCATCTTTGGAAGCCCTGGAGATTTCAGCAGCCCCTTGGACAATATTAGAAGGCCCTAGTGCAGTTGGTGCAGGTTCAGATAAATTGGCAGCAGGTTTAGCACTAAAAACAGTCCTCTGGTCAATAGGCCCGGTCGGGCTAGGAGGTATCCCGGTCGGGCTGGCGGCAGCATCCTGGTCAATAGACAGGGGCCTGGTCGGGCGAGCGGGTTGCCCGGTCGGGCTGGCAGAAGCCTGCTCCTGGAAAGTAGGTTCTGCCCGAGAAGGGTTTTGGGGATCAATCCCCGATTTGGCATGAATATCCACCTTACCATTCATCCTCTTCGTCACACCACCTGTAGTCAACACTTTTTCAATCTTTTTCCAACCCAATTCCTTGCAAATAAAGGGGTGATGACCATAAGATTTGCAATGAAAACAGAAATTAGGAAAAGTTTCATAGACAACCACTTGATTAAAGATCTTCCCCGATGGTAACCAGATAGGAAAAGAGAGGCAAGGTGCCAGGGTAATGTCTACTTCAATCAACACTCTCGCAAAGTTTTAGTTTGACATCTCTTGAGTGACCTTATCTGTAGTGATAGGAACACCCACCTTTGATGCAATCAAGCTCATTGCCTCTTCATTCCACAAATTCAAAGGTAAATTAGGAAATTTAACCCAAATAGGCACCTTAAGGAATGCCTCATCATCAAAAGTGAAATCCTCAGATAGCATTTTCAAAAACAGTAATCTCCCAATGATATTATAAGGTCCTTCAGTAAAGACCTTAGTTCTATCCTGCTCATTCTTAAATTTAAAAATCACCCATCCCTTGTTATGAGATTTTAATGTACAGTGTACACCCCATTTGTTCATAAGCTCATAAATCGCTTTAAGCCCCGAGAATCTACCTGTGAAGCATCCAACAAGGCAATAACCCCACAGCGAGACCATAGAAGGTAACACACAATTTGAAAGATCAACAACATCATCATTCGAAGGAAGGTATTCCAGTTTAATACCTTTGGATGGAGCACGATTATCTCTAAATAATTCTGACCATTGTGTGTTTGTTCTTGTTGTAGCCTTTCCTGGGTTAGCCGCAGAAGTTTCTGCCGAAGAACCCATAGCAGGAGAAGCCTTCTTAGCAGTAGTGTCCGCAGGTTTAGTAGGAGAACTGCTGGTCTTGTCTCCTGGTAGTAGTGTAGTTTCACTCCCTGCATTCCCAGGAGTTTTCCCAGCAGCAATTGAATTCGGCTCCAAATCAGGCTGTGCAGCAGGTGGTTGTTTAGTTTTCACAGCAGCTCCTCCAATTTGTATTGCAGCAGTAGGTGAAGTCACCTTAACAGATGTAGCAGGTTCAGCTGGTGTTCCAGCAGTTAACACAGCTCCAGCAGCATTGAGCTGCTTCTCTATCCCATTCCCCTGCTTTCCAGCCGACATTGGAGTAGCATTGAGGTCCCCAAAGTTAGCAACCTGCTTCACAACCACAGCAGGTTCCTCAAGAGCGTTCCCAGAAGCTGGCAGATTCCCAGGTTTCCCAGTGTGAAGGATAGGGAAGTTTTCTTCCAAACAATCCAATACATTAAACCCAGAGGATGTTCTTGACCTGATGTTCACAGAGGGAGTTTGCAGGCCCTTCCCCTGCTTTTTTCCGGCCATAGTGCCTTTCCCTTAATTTCCCCAAATTCGCAGAACCAATGAGCCAAAACTTGCGACCATGAACAGTGCCAAAGCGAAACTAAACACCGCCCCCAGTTGACGGGCAGTTAAGATTCAGCCCAACACAAACTCAAAGTACAGGGATTAAACCAAGAAATCCTCTGCAGTAGCTAGATTAATGGAGAAAAAGCAAATCGCGTATGAACAGTAACTGCAAGCGCGACAAAGAGTAGCCGGCGACTTAAAAGCACACACCACACCGGCGACAGTGATGGTGGCCACTAAAAAATAGCCGGAGATACTCTGTTCGTCGCTAACACAGGTGGATCTGAAGAAAACAACAACAAACAAGAAATCATTCACCGAAAAAGGAACTTCCCTCTGTGCGTAAAAGAAAATCAATTTGGGGCTAAAAAGCCCTAATTCGATTCTGTCCTGCAACAAGGAAAGATAAGCGTAACAAACCTTCAGCTCAAACCAAGAAACGAAGAATTCCATCGTACCGCGTGAATCTGGAAGAAGAGTTCCAGAGAGAGACGCTCTCAACACACGGGGAATCCATTTTCTCAGTTTTGCATCTTGATTTTATTGCTACTATCGGGTTGATATATGTCGCGTATTCTATATTAACTCGGTAGTAAGTTTTATTAATGAACGTGTCTCGTTATTAATAACTACCCTCGATGAACTGGATATACTTTCATTAAGAAAACCTCTGCAGTAGCTAGATTAATGGAGAAAAAGCAAATCGCGTATGAACAGTAACTGCAAGCGCGACAAAGAGTAGCCGGCGACTTAAAAGCACACACCACACCGGCGACAGTGATGGTGGCCACTAAAAAATAGCCGGAGATACTCTGTTCGTCGCTAACACAGGTGGATCTGAAGAAAACAACAACAAACAAGAAATCATTCACCGAAAAAGGAACTTCCCTCTGTGCGTAAAAGAAAATCAATTTGGGGCTAAAAAGCCCTAATTCGATTCTGTCCTGCAACAAGGAAAGATAAGCGTAACAAACCTTCAGCTCAAACCAAGAAACGAAGAATTCCATCGTACCGCGTGAATCTGGAAGAAGAGTTCCAGAGAGAGACGCTCTCAACACACGGGGAATCCATTTTCTCAGTTTTGCATCTTGATTTTATTGCTACTATCGGGTTGATATATGTCGCGTATTCTATATTAACTCGGTAGTAAGTTTTATTAATGAACGTGTCTCGTTATTAATAACTACCCTCGATGAACTGGATATACTTTCATTAAGAAAACCTCTGCAGTAGCTAGATTAATGGAGAAAAAGCAAATCGCGTATGAACAGTAACTGCAAGCGCGACAAAGAGTAGCCGGCGACTTAAAAGCACACACCACACCGGCGACAGTGATGGTGGCCACTAAAAAATAGCCGGAGATACTCTGTTCGTCGCTAACACAGGTGGATCTGAAGAAAACAACAACAAACAAGAAATCATTCACCGAAAAAGGAACTTCCCTCTGTGCGTAAAAGAAAATCAATTTGGGGCTAAAAAGCCCTAATTCGATTCTGTCCTGCAACAAGGAAAGATAAGCGTAACAAACCTTCAGCTCAAACCAAGAAACGAAGAATTCCATCGTACCGCGTGAATCTGGAAGAAGAGTTCCAGAGAGAGACGCTCTCAACACACGGGGAATCCATTTTCTCAGTTTTGCATCTTGATTTTATTGCTACTATCGGGTTGATATATGTCGCGTATTCTATATTAACTCGGTAGTAAGTTTTATTAATGAACGTGTCTCGTTATTAATAACTACCCTCGATGAACTGGATATACTCCTCGATTGAGTATTGGAGAGGAAGATAGTTAAAGATATAACTGGGATCGACGAACATTTCATTAAGTAGATAAAAGCAAAATCAAGTCTTCATCTCTATTAAAGTAAACCACATAAGTCGTTCATCTTAGTGTTTAAATACATTTAAGTTCATCAACAATCATACCTGTAACACCCCGGGGCCCCACACGGACCCGAGGTAGTTACTCTAGACCTCTAGTACTGTCCCCACAAACCATCACGAGCCTTTATCCCGCACTTTGTCCTCACTCATGCGCGCCCTGAGAAACTTCCCAGGGGGTCACCCATCCCAAGACTACTCCCGTGCAAGCACGCTTAACTTTGGAGTTCTTGGGTGATGAGCTCCCTTAAAAGGAGATGCACCTCTGTTGGTATGAGTAGTACTATTAATCCGTTTATATTAAATCTCAAGTGTTACAATCACCCCAACTTAGGATCGCAACGTCCTCGTTGCGTCCTTGAACCAATCTCAAATCTCAATCAAATCATATCCCATAATCTTCCCCCGCTAGGTGCCCGCCCGATATCCAACAGGTCATCACACTGTCGCGGGGTTGCTTTGATACCACCTGTAACACCTCGGGCCCCCACACGGACCCGAGGTAGTTACTCTAAACCTCTAGTACTGTCCCCACAAACCACCACGAGCCTTTATCGCGCACTTTGTCCTCACTCATGCGCGCCCTGAGAAACATCCCAGGGGGTCACCCATCCCAAGACTACTCCCGTGCAAGCACGCTTAACTTTGGAGTTCTTGGGTGATGAGCTCTCTTAAAAGAAGATGCACCTCTGTTGGTATGAGTAGTACTATTAATCCGTTTATATTAAATCTCAAGTGTTACACTGAGCTTGCAGACGTACAGAAGAAAATGGCACTGCTTGCCACGAGATTTGCAAAGAAGAACAGCTCCTCCAACAAGCTGAGAACCTCCTCATCTAACTACAAACAGAAGAACCATGAACAAGGATCTTCTAGAAAGGCGCCATCAGCTGAAGATGCTCCCAAATGCTACAATTGTGGGAAGGCTGGGCATGTCATCAAAGACTGCCGCCTCCCAAAGAAGAAGGATGCTAACTTCTACAAGCAGAAGATGTTGTGGAATAAGCAGAAAATGCTGATGGTGCAGAAAGAAGAAGAAACTTCTGCAATGATTGCTGAGAATGATAACTCGGCAGAAGATTCTTCTGATGAGGAGGAGGAAGAAGAAAACTATGCCCTGATGGCACGAGTGGAGGAAGATGAAAGAAAGGGTGATGCTGCGATCCCCCAAAGCGAATGCTCAACAAGCTCTGTAAGTACCTCTCATACTCCTTTAAATAACCAAATGCAGTCCTTACTTGAGAAGGACAGTCTAATTAAAGAACTAAAGGAGAGACTAGACAATAATCACAGGGTACTGAAACAGAATCTAGACCAAAAGTCTTCTTTAAGTGTTCAACTTGAAATTGCAATAGATCAGGTCAAAAAGGTGTCCTCAAATTTTGAAAGTTTTGAACTTAAGATAGCTGAATTAACTAGGAAATTTGAGGATAGTGAACGAGAGAAAAGCACAGCAAAGGCTGAATGCGATTTTTTGCATAATAAGAGAAGAACACTTTTAAACAAAATAAAAGAACTAGAGGATCTAGCTGCTAGAAGAGGTCAGTCTGAACAGACAATTTTTCTTAATCAAATAAAGGATGACCGATTCTACAATCCTAAAATAGGACTGGGCATAAAAAACCCATGTAATCTAAAGAAAGTTAACTGTCTTCAAATCTATAACAAAGATTACATGGGACTAGGTTTTGGTGAGAAAATGTATTTTCGAAGTGATGAAGAAAACGCTGAAGCAGAAGAAGAAAAGAGAAAGAACCCTAAAGCTGTGATTTCTTGTGATTATCCCTCTGTAAATGAAAAACAACTTTCAGAAGAAAAATCTACTTCCTGCTTTAGTGAATGCCTTGACCCTTATGCAAAAGATATTCCACACATAGGACATCCTCTAGATCCACCCCCAAGAGTAGGTATCGCTAAAACTGGATAGGAACCTTGTATTTTTCCTATGGCTCAAAAACTCAAAAACCTTCAGAAAACTCTTGATAACGAGAGAGAGAGATTTGAAACTGAAAAGAGAGGTTTTCAGAGCAACTGGTAGGAACTTTTTCAAAAGTTCAATGAACTAAGTGAGAAGTATCATTCTAAAACAACCTCTTCTACTTCTAAGTTTGACAGCTCACACACCTCACCTGAGAAAAACAATGTTTTAAAAGGTTCGTCCACTCATCTCTCTTCTCCTTTGTTTACAGGAAATGAAGTGAAGAAGGAAGGAGAAGAGAAGAATGAGTGGAGGAAAAAGAGGAAGGAAATCGCAGAAGGCAAAAAGAAAGTTTTTGAGAATAGTGCCAGTCCTAGATCTAGTTCTATTTTTTATTCTAAAGTTAATTGTAATTCTATCTCTACAAAACAAACTTCTAGTAGTTCAGTCTTGAGTCCCGAGCTGAATATTTCTGAGACATCTTCTAGGCATCGTTCTATTCATAATACAAGTATTGCTTATGGTTATTCTGTTCCAGACCCCCATAATTATGAATGTGATGTGAATGTTGTTAAAGCAAAACCTCACAGAAAGCTCAAACCAGAAAGAGAAACCCAGAAAAGAACTTCTAAGGGAACATTTTGTATTCCTGATATGAAATATGCTCTTCGAGTTCATTCAAGGAAACATCTTAATCGGCTTTCTAAAGAGGAAATTTTTAAAACCAAACTTAAGAAACAACCATTCAATCACAAAGCGCATGTCTACTCTCCTCCCAAAGCTAAAACAGAAAGGTGGGTCCCCAAGATAAGACTCACCAAAACTGAAACGAAAAGTTGGGTCCCCAAGATGAGACCTACCAAACTTGAAACGGATAGGTGGGTCCACAATCGCAGACCCACCAAAACTGAAACAGAAAGGTGGGTCCCCAAATTCAGACCCACCAAAACTGAAACGGAAAGGTGGGTTCACAACAACAGACCCACCAAAATGGAAACTGCTAAGTGGGCTCCAAAAACCAGACCCACTGCAAAAGCAGATCTGGCTATTGGAGAGCCCACAAGAGAAAGATCTTTTGTTGAAAGAGCTGCTGACCTTGGATCACAGCTAAAAGCGAGATTTAGAAAGGTGTTTTTTGATAATAAGGAAGGACCCACTCCAAGATGGGTACCTATACCTGTTTGATTGTTTTGCAGGACGGTCATGTGTGGCACTTAGACTCAGGATGCTCAACCCACATGACCGGAATAAAGCACCTATTGAGCAACTACACCAACTGCTACGGAGGCAATGTCAAATTCGGGAACGACGCCTCATCTCCTATTCTTGGGTATGGGGACGTCATCTGTGCCAGTGTCACTATAAAAGACGTTTCATTTGTCAAAGGGCTCAAACACAACT